TTTTTTTTTTTTAAAAAAAGGGGGGGGATTTTCCCGGGAAATTTTTTTTTAAGGAAAACCACACCCCGGGGGTTTTTTTTTTTCAAAAAAAAAAAAAAAGTAAAAAAAATTTTTAAAAAAAAAAAGGTTTTTTAAAAATTTAAAAAAAAAAAAAAAAAAAAAAAAAACCCAATTTCCAAAAATTATATATAAAATTTTTTTAATTTTTTTTTTTTTTTTCTTTATTTCTTTTATATAATTATGGATTTTATCATTATTATTATAAATTTTTGTAAACAACATCACAAAAAAAAAAAAAAAAAAAAAAACTCTTAAAAAAATAAAAACAAAATAAATACTGAGTTTCAGTGGACGTTATACTTCCATACATATATGAACAAATTAAAATAAACCCTTTCTAGGTTTTGAAATAAAACTTTTTAATTTTATAATTTTGAAAACCAATCAAAAAAAAAAAAATTATTTTATTTTTATAACGAAATTGAAATTTTTTTTTTTATTATTTTTATTATTATTATAATTATTAAACTGAAAATGATACTAAAGAGCCAAAAAGGAAATGTTGAATAATTGGTACTTTTGATAAAACATCAGCATAAAATTTCTTCATCATACCCATGTTAATTTTATCCCAAGAAGCAGCGCCACTGATATTGAATAGGTCTCTAGAGTGTTCATGGAAAGGTCCTTTTTTAACGGTATTGATATATTTTATACAGGCTAAATACATATATTTTGGGTAATATTGGTCAACTATTTTTTCAATTGTAATGGATGCTGGTTTAATACCAAAGGGATTATTGATTAGTTGAGCAGCACCCCAAATGAATGGGATGAATTGATAGTCATCTAAACTCCAAACACCATGTGTACCAGCTGGTTCTAAACCATATACACGTTGAAGTTTACGAACTAATTCTAAATAGCATGGAAATACTTTAAGGGCGATATCAATTTCATCTTCTGATTTTAAATATCCTATTCTACGCAAACAGAATGTCCATACGACAAAATGTAATTCGTGACCTGTACCATAATCTAAACGAGTTTGATTACCCATTGCATCCATAAGATAGGGTGATAATTCTTGAATTGATTCTTTATATTTTTCAGATTCTTCACCAAACATTTCTAAATGAACTCTTTCAATATTTTCTGTCATCTTTTGATACCATGTACGATATGCTTTATTACCATATCTCATTGGTTGTGCTAAAGGTGGTATACTATCAATCCACAAACTCATTTCATTTAAAAGATTAATAATCTTTTTGATTTCCTTTATATATTTTAATATTTATCATTAATTATTAATATTATTATTATTTTAATTTTTAATTTTAATGCATACATTTGAAATATGGTGTTTCAATATCATTTGGTTTTGATTTAATTTGATCGCTGATGGTTTGAATATATTTTAATAAATTATTGCATGCTTCTGAAACTAAAAATTTTCTAATATCATCTTCACATGTTACTACTTTAACTGGTTTTACAAATTTATGTTGCTCTATATCTTTAATTTCAACAAGTTGTTGACGTTGTTGCTCTGTTGCCATTATTACTTTAGATTATGTGGTATATAAAAATAAAAATTAAAAATTATTACACAAAAAAAAATTTAATAAAAAAAAAAAATAAAAAAAATAAAAAAAAATATTTTTTTAAATAATTTGTTAAATAAAAAACTATAAATTAGGTTTTGGGAAAAAAAAAAAGCTTTTATGATTTTTTATTAATAAACTGATTAATAGAAATAAAACTTTGATTATAATTAATCAATTAAATTAATTTTTGGATCATCATTGTCAGTATTATTCTGTTGTTGTTGTTGTGGTTGTTGTTGTGGGATAATATATAAATTATTGTTGTTGCTGCTACCATCATAGTTATTATTCATATTAATAATATTTGTTTGAGAACTTGATTGATTTTCAATTAGTGATAGCTTAATTTCTCTTTTAAAAATTGATTTAATATATACAATACTGATACCATTGGAAATATTTGCAGAGTTATAATTTGAAATAAAAACTTCCATTTGACTGTCAATCTAAAAATAAATAAATAAATAAATAAATAAATAAATAAATAAATAATTAATTATTATTTTACAATAATATTATAATTGTGTTTAATAGTTGGGTTTAATTACTCTAAATAAGAATGAGGATATTATAACGAATAAAACAACGTCCAATAAAAATCCAATTGGTAAAAAGAAAAAGAATGATACAAAAAATATGATAATAATAATTATTGAGTTTCTTTTTAATTTTTCTTGATCTGGTTTGCAAATTGAATTTAGATTTTGAATAAGTTGTATGTAGTTGGATTGGTTCATAGTATTACTAAATTTATTTGCAATATCAATTGGATAGCTTTCATCAAAACCATGAAGAAAGTCAAGATAACCTGGATTCTTTTTAATATAAAAGTCTTGGAATCTATTAATGTTATAGACATAGTGTTGCTGTTGTTGGTAATGAATTGGTGTGGCATTTATATAGTTAGCATTATTATTATTATTATTAATATTATTATTATTATTATTATTATTATTCTGCTGTTGTATTGATTCTGGATCAGATTCTATTGGGATTTGTTGGTATGGTTGATTGCCCATTTTTTAAATATTATTAACTTAATAATAGGTTTTTATAAAATAAAAGTAAAACTATATTGGAAAAAGGTTTATATTTTATAACCACGTATAAAAAAAAAATTAATTTTTATAAAAAAAAAAAAAAAAAAAAAATAATTTAAATTTATAAAAAAAATTTTAATTTATCATTTTTTTAAGTAGTTTATAAAATAAAGATAATTTATTAATTTAAATAAAATAAATAGATAAAATAAATAAATAAAGATTAAATATAAAATATTTTTAAATAAATAGTTTTATTTAATAATTAAAAATAAAAATTTTATAACTATATTTTTTTTTTAAAAAAAAAAATAAAATAAAATAAAATTTATAAAGAATTCGATTGTTAGTTCATAATTATAATAACATTCATTCGAAACTATTAATATTTTAATTAAAAAAACCAATATTAACCCCCCCATTTTTAAAAATTAATCATAAAATATAAAAATAAATTTATAATGTTCCTATATATAACCCATCCACAAAATATAAAATTCCTTAATCCAAAATAATTATTAAAAAAAAGTAATTTCTTATAAATATTCAATTAAAAAAAAAAAAGGAGCCCATAATATTATAAAATAACTATCTTAAATATTTTATTTTTAAAGCCAATAATTTTAATTTTTATAAAAAAAAAAAAAATATAGATCTGAAAATAATTAGGTAATTTAAAAAAAAAATATTAATTATTTGAAAATGGAATTTTTAGTTTAAACCAAAAAAAAAAACTATAAATAACTTAATGAAATGTTAGTTTCATTAAATTAATTAAAAAAAAATATAAAAAATGACAATAATAAGTAGGTAATTCTCTTATTAATTTATATATAAAAATAAAATTTAACTAATAATATTATTTTTCATTCCTTTAGGAAGTATTTCAAGTTTAAATATTACAAATAGTAACAATTCAAATTTCAGTTCAACAAATAATAATAAAAAAAATAGTCATAATAGAGTTGGCAGTATGGACAGTTTTTTAAATCAAGAAAATGAAAATCAAGAAAATAATAATATAAGCGAATACGAAAGACCAAGTCCCACTTATGTTTCATTAGCATCTGGTTTAAGTTGTACAATGTTATAAAACCTTATTATATATAAATTCATGTAAATAAAATTCTATTTATTTTCCATTTTATTTTATTAAACAGGATAGTTTTTTTTTTCTTTATTTATTTATGAAACAATTCTATTACATTTTGGAAAAGGATTATTTTTTATATTTTTTTTTTAAAGTAAAGATAATTATAAGCAAATGCTTTAAATTAATAAAGTTTTTAAAATATTCTAAACTTTTGTTATTTGGTAATGATTTGATGCTGCTGAAGTATGCTCTTGCTATTCTTCTTTTGAATTTTCTATATTCTTCATTGATGTTGCTAATTGTTTGTGGTTGTTAAGCGTGTTTTTGGATCTTTAATATTTTTTTTTTTTTAAAAATGAAGATAATTAAAAGCAAATTCTTTAAATTAATCAGTAAAATTTTATTTAATGTTTTTTTATAAAGTTTTTAAAGAAAATATTCTAAACTGTTGATATTTGGTAAAGATTTGATGTTGATGAAGTATGCTCTTGCTATTCTTCTTTTGAATTTTCTTTTTTTTTTTTTTTTTTTTTTTAAAAGTGAAGATAATTAAAAGCAAATGCTTTAAATTAATCAGTAAAACGAATTTTCTATATTCTTCATTGATGTTGCTAATTGTTTGTGGTTGTTTAGCTTGTCTTTCCTTGATGTTGATATAGCTATAGCCTGTAAGTTGAAGACATTGTGGGAAACAACTTGTATCAATTGAAATTACCCCCTAAGATTAAATCACAGGGAAGATTTTTCATAAAAAAGGCCCCAGCGGGGATCGAACCCACGACCTCTTCCTTACTAGGGAAGCGCAATACCACTATGCTATGCGGCCATTTTTCTTGAAATTGATAAAAAGTTTTTTGTTTGGGGTTTTTTAATATTGAATTACAACAATTTTAGACCCAGATAACTCAGTTTTATCCTTTTTTACCGAAATCATCTAAAATTCATACGTGGGGGAAATAATAATCAAGTTTCTATAGCACAGCATAGTAAATAAAATACCATTCCCCAAGGCTATGTCCAATAACCTCTATTTTCCTAATAGAATGTTTGATTATAATAACTATATTAATTGTATAAAAAATTAGTTTTTTTTTTTAAAATAATATATATCTGTTATTTATACTTATAATGAAATTAAAAAGATTATAAATATTGATCTTAATAAAATATAGAAAAAAAAAATTTATTTATAAAAATGACTTTATTTTTAATTTACCATTTAAAAAGTGTTTATAATTAAATGGTTTTGATTGATGTTAAATTTGTAATGATATGTTTAAATTTTAAAATATTATTCTGATTATTGTGTTATAATTTTTATATGCATGTTTTTTAAAAAGTAATTATTTGATATATATTTATTTCTACTGTTTCTAAGCGGGTAAAACTGCAGATGGCTCAGAACTCTTTGATAAAATTGGTGATTGTGATGGTTTTTCATCTACTATCATACAAGGTGGGGCTGTAGATGGTGATGATGTTGTGGATTGAGATTTCATTTCTTCTGGTTTCTTGGCACCATGGAGGGCTTCTTCTTCCTCATCTTGAACTCTTTGAGTTTTTCTTGATGTTACAAAACTAATAGTTGAAAATAATATTTGAACTAATGAAACTGCGTCAGTAATTGCTAAACGAATAATTTTAATTTTTGCAAATCCTTCTAAAGCAATAATTAGAGCTGTTAAACCAGCTAAAATAATAAATGAAATTACACCTAAAATAACCATTAATTTCCACCAAGTACTCTATTTTTAAAATTAAATTTTATTAGTAATTTTAATTTTTCAAAACATTTTAATATTTTGAATACCCACCATCGAATATACAAAGCAACATAAAAACCCTCTTCTTTGTTCAGAACAAGTAGATCCAACCATCATTAAATATGTTCTTGAAATAATTTCGAAACCAACACCTATTAAATAAATTGCATGTAATGCTATAACCGCATTAAACCAAACTTTTCCTGCTATTGATTTAGTTCCCAATCCTTGTAATTCTAAAGGTTTATTATAGATAATCATACCAAGACTACCTGCCAACATTAATACTATGGTACCTAACCATAAAATAATTCTAAAAATATAATTAGTATTTTCCAAAAAAAATATTTTTTGTACTATAAACTTACTTTGTTTTTCCTATAGCACCCATTTTATATAATATTTAGATTTGACTTCAAGTTTATAATATTTTATCTTTTTTTTTTAAAATTGTTTTCCCTAAATTCTATAAAAAATTGTAATAATACTAGAATATTAATATATGTGGTATTTTAATAAAAAGTATGATTGATTTAAAAAACAAAAATAAAAAAAAAAAAAAAAATTTTAAAATATTTGTATAATAAAAAAAATATAACAAAAATAAAAAGGTGATAATGGGTTTTGTTTAATATAGGTAGTAAAAATAAATAAATAACAAATAAGAACAATTTGTATATGTATGTGTTTAGTTATAAAAATAATTACATAATTAAAATTAATATAATAAAAATAAAATATTAATTTAAAACTGTGTTAACCTTCTCATATAGGTTTAAAACTTTATGAAAAAATAATTGAATTTTTTTAAAATTAATTGAAATAATTATAAAGTAAAAATAATAAAAAAAAAAAAAAGAAAAAAACATTTATATTATTAGTGTGTTTAAATATTTATTTTTATAATTTGTGGTTAAAATATTAATGTGGGTGTTTATATGAGTGTTAGTGTGGTGTGTGTATGTACTTTTTAATGATAGTAATGTTTCTTTATATATATATTTGTATGTGTGTGTTTGTGTGGTAAGATTGTTATTTATATATAATTTCATGACCCTCTCGATTTATTTTATTAATAAAAAATGATGTGGTGGTTTATATATAATTTTATCTCTATATTTATAAGTTATTTACTTCTATATGGGGGGTGGGTGAAAAATTTAATAACAATAACCAAAAAATTTTAAAAATTATTAAATACTATTTGTTATTTTAA